GAACAAAACGTTTTATCCTATTCTTGTCAATCTTAGGGCAGCAAGAATTACCTTCACACTGGATTTAAAAGTAAAGATTTCCCCACTTTAGTCTTCCTCTTCTATTGCCATTCAGCACGATTTTAGTGGCATGGCTGAAATCTTAAAGACAAAAAAACTCCCTCTACCAATTTTGATTCTGGTCTCAGTGGCCCAAGGAGGTGCCTTGGCCTAGAAAGCTGCCACAGGCAGCATAGGACCAGAGTCGGTACCCAGGGCCTTGTGTTTCTCGGCAGCAATTAGATAAAAAATACTAAGGATGGTCACTAGATGTCCCTCTTGTGTCTCTAAAGAGGCTGAGGAGGCGGGGCTCCCTTCAGGATTGAAGTAAAGGGAAGCTAAAACGGAGGGAACTTTCTTGTTTTTATTATCTGCATGGAGAACGGTTTTATTCAGTTAGTTAATAAATTCCTGATCATGAAGGTGTTTTGGCCACTCATTTAGTCAATAGCGTTGTTGGAGTATAATGATTAAGTGTGCCTATTAGAAAAAACAAGATTCCGAGAGCAAAGGCTGTTAGGATTATCCGTAGAAATAGACTGGGGGATGGAAGAGCTATTTTGTGTGTGGGGGTGGGGTGGGGTGGGGAGTGTAACTGTCACTTGGAGCTTGGGGGTGGGGAGGGAGTAATGGGAAAGAAGGACAGCATAGGCACACCCCCCCTGCTTCTTTCTGCACCTGGCTTCTGTAAAAGCGGTTTTGTAGCTGGAAGGACTTGGGTGCTCTCCTTGGAAAAGAGGGGCTCCCGGAATGTGAGCAGCGAGCAGGAAGCAGGGAACACGGTGCCATCACTTTAGCAAAGACCGTTTGTCTTTGCAAATGCAGCACATGTCTTTACAATGTGATTGCAATTACAAAGGTAATGACATTGTACATGAATTGAATTCTCCTATTTATCTTTAAAAGACAGCAGAATATAGACATTCTATTAGCACTCCCTTAGGTAAGAGGTCCGCAGTCTTCATATCTTGTTGTGTGCATCTTTTCAGATGCCACGACAATGTTAATCATTTTACCTGAGTAATTCTTCCATTTCTCGTTACCTGGGGGATTGTTAATGGCCGAGGCTACTTCGCAGACTCTTTGCTCCCGCTCAATCAAGCCGTGGAGGCGCCAGTTTACTTTTATTGATCAGCGGGTTCCTGACAGCCTTCGCCACAAGGAAGCAGCATCATCCTTTTTTAACTTAAAGGGGAACAGATCGCCTTAAAGTTTACAGCTAAAAGCTTCTAAGCATAGCATGCAAACATTTTAGCATGCTGCTAATTGTTCTGTTTAAATAGTCCAAGCAATATTTTAGAAACCTGCCAAACGCCGAACTTACATCCCGTGATCAGATAGCAAACCCATTTCAAATGCCTTTTTAGGCCTTTTTAATTAGACCAAGATGCACTTCATTCCCACTCGCTGACATCAAAGGTAAATAACTGTGATAAATCAAATGCAACCCTTCCTTTCCAGGAGCCCGCGAGGTGCGCCCGCGCTGCCTTGCCATGTTGTCATTCTCCTCCACTACTTGCCCATTTCTCCAACGGTATCTGCAGAAAACCGGGCGGGCCCGCCGCAGCCACTACTCTGCCGTCCACCCGCAGCTCTAAATGACCAAAATTAAATGATACCCATTGCGGATGCCTCGGTTTTCTCCCTGATGTTCTGGGCTGAATCACATCCTAATGTGAAAGAGTGAAACGACCCCCACGCGGAGAGCGGATCAGGCTCCCCACCGTCTCCCCTTGTCCTGGGCTGCACGTTCAAAGGGTTGCAATCTCGCTCTCGAAATAATTCCTTTCTCTAGGAGGGAAGCTGTCTTTCTCCCTTCTCACTGCCAAGGTAAAGGCTGCTAAACTAGCTCCTTTTGGAAGGAGAAAAATTTAAAAGCAGCTGGGTTGCTCTCTGCAAGAAGATGGCAGTTTTGAGAAAACCCATTATGTGTCCAAATGCCTTTTTTCCTTCCTTGTTTAATGTTTTTTAAAGGGCAAAAGTGAGTCTCATTTTAAGCCCACAGGCTCGAGCCAATGTCGCTGGGCTAATTATGAGTTTGCTTACCTAAGTCTCCCAAATATCTGAGACGACTCACTCAGAAAGGATTTTTACTCTTCCAAGAACTGTGAATTCAGAAGCCGCTCTCCCATCCCCAATCTATGACGGGGAAAAAAAAAAGCAAAACTTGTTCAACAGGGATGTTTTTTATTTTTTTCCCACCAGTGACCTTAATTAAGAGTCTCAGGTCCGGGTGGGGACGAGTCCCCCCTCTGTCCCCAGGGTGCTCCAGTCCAGAAGGCAAGCTGAGCTGGATGTCAGCCCTGGCCACGCCGACCTCCTGCTTCCCAGTATTGGCACACGCTGCAGCCGCCACCACCGCCCAGGCGGAGCTGGCAGTCCCCCGGGATCTAAGCACGGGGAAGGATGGGGCGCCCCGCACAACGGCGTCCAGCTGCCGGCGACCTACGCGGACAGTGCGCCTGCCCCACAGCTCTCGCCAGACTCGGGGCTCTCCCGGCTTGGCTCGGCGTGGCGGCGTCCGCTCTACCCGCTCTTCTCTAACGTACAGTTTATTTATAGAGAGCTAAATTCTCCAACAGGGTGGGGTGAGGGGCAATGAAATGTGTTCAGTCCACTCCGCGGCTCAGTCCCTGCACCTCAAATCTCACTTGATTTACAAGCAATAGACAAGAGCAAACCAAACCAGGGGCCCCGCTGGGGGGAAGGGGGTGGGTAGTGCGGCTTCTGCCCCAGGTGGAAGGGTGTGGGTGACGGCCCACAAGGATGGCATTAGTGGCTCTCAGCTGAAGTGAAGACGCACCACCAAAAGCTGGATGAATGACCACCTCATGTACGCTTTCTCCTTTTCTTTCTTCCTTCCACTACCCAAGAGTGAGAAGAGAGGAAAACAGCTAACAGACAACCCAGGGCAAAGAGACAAAGAAGGAGAGAGGAGAGGGAGAGAAAGAGAAAGAAAGAGAAAGAGAGAGAGAGAAGGGGGGGATATGAATATTGTATTCAAGATATGAAGATATGTGCGGGAGATAAACACGCCAAGAGAATCAAATCTTCCTCATCTTTCCTGCAATCTCTGCAAACATGAGCGGCGCTCAACTGCAGCGCCCGCACACCTCCTCCCCGCTCCACCCTGCCCTCTTGCCCCAGCCGGGTTAGCCTGTCCAGCTTTCCCAGTCTCCCGCCCGGGCTCGGCAGGCCGGGGTACCACTTGGTCCCGCCGGTGTGTAAGTTTCTGCCGGGCCCCTCCCCGTCCCGCCCCCCCTCCTCGCCTTGGCCCCGCCCCAAGACCGGAGCCCGCTGGGCGGCGCGCTGATTGGCCAGCGCCTGGCGTAGCCGGGCTCGGCAGCTCGAGCTCTCTTCAGCTCTCTCCAGACTCCGCGGCCAGTAGTTTGCGGCATCGGGAGGAGCAGCAGCAGCAGTAGCGGCGGCGGCTGGCGCAGAGGAGAGACGGACGAGCGGGCACAGACGGCAGCACAGCTCCCGCGCACCATGCCCGGCTTGCCCGGGGGGCATTCGCGCCCGGGTCCCTAGCCGGGCGCTGGCCCTTGGCGCGTTGGGCTCCGCGGCTGAACGGATTCATCCGAGATCCTGAACCTCCCACCCCAAACCCATTTCCTCCTGCTTGCTCATACTCCACACTCACACTCCCCACACCACACGCTCACTCTTCCTCTCTCTCACACATTCGCACACAGCCCGAGACAGAGAAAGCGAGATAGACCTCCCGAGAGCGCGAGCGCCCGGGAGGGAGGAAGCCGAACGCAGCGCGACCAGCGCCTCTCCGGGAGGATGGAATCAAGACGCTCCCTCAAGTAAACTTTGGCGGCGACAAAATCGTCCACTGTGGCAGCTGCAGAGGCGGACCCCAGCGACATGCGACTGAGCTAAGAGGGCTTCCTCCCGCGGCAGCGGCCCTCGGAGCGACACCCCAGCCCAAACGGAGGGAGGAGAAGAAGCCCCTGGTACCCGCGGCGGCGGCCCCGCCTCTCCTGGCCGGTACTGTTGTCGCTTCCCCTCCCCTCTTCCCCATTCCCCGCCCTCCCCCCGGGCCATTGGAAAAACTGGGACTTTGATTTTCTTGGACAAATTGACATCTCCCCATTTCCACAAACTTGACTTGCGGGCTCGGGCTGCATTGGTAACTTTGATTTCCGAGATACAAACGCCTGCAGCCCCTCAACTGCTCGGTGGTGGTGGTGGTGGTGGTGGTGGGCGGGGGGTACTCCGAGCCCACCTAGGACCTTGGATAGTCGTGTCCCACTAACCCTCCGAAGTCAACCTCAGCGCGAAGGAGCGCGCTCTCGCCTTGGCAGCCTCTCTCCCCTCCCCCTTTCTCTGCCAGCCCCGGGACCGCCATCCGCCTCAGCCCGATCCCTGGGCGCCGGTGGCACTTGCCAGCAACTCAGACTCCCACCTGCGACCCTCCTTTCTCCCCAGCAGGCCTTGAAGAGGCCAGCGTGGCACCCCCGGACCCCGGAGGGCGCGTTCCAGGCGGGTCCTCTCTCCGCAGTGAGCCTAGAGCACTGGGGGGAGGTCTTTGCGCATGCCAGGTGCACAGACAACGCGCTCCACAGCCCCTGTGCCGGTGCGCCGCGGCGGGCCGGGCAGTGTCTGAAAGGCTGCGTCCCCGTCGCCCTCCCCGCCTTCGCCTCAAGTACGGTTGGGACTCAGCTGCGCGTCGTCCGGGCCGCGCAGACGTCGCCCGACCCGCAGCCCTGCGCCGCTGCGGCCAGTCGCGCCCGGCTAACTTTAAAGGGGGAAAACTGAGTAGCCGGGCTGGAGGGAGGGGGCTCGGGGCCACGCTGCGCTCCCTTGGCCCCCCGGAGCCCCCGGGCTCCCCGCAAGCCCCCGCCGCGTCCACCGCAACCTCAGCATTGGAGCCGGCGCGGGTATCACCCCCGCGCCGCCGGGCCGCCCTGGGCGGGACTCCTCCCGCGGCCTCCGGGGCCACGGGGCGCGCGCAACAGGCGGCCCGAGCCGGCGGGAAGCTGGAGCGCCGACGGCGTCGGCCTCGGAGGGGTGTGGAGAGGCGAGGCCAGGCAGAGCCCCGCGCAGCCATGGAGTCTCTCCTGCTGCCGGTGCTGCTGCTGCTGGCGGTATTGTGGACGCAGGCTGCCGCCCTCATTAACCTCAAGTACTCAGTAGAAGAGGAGCAGCGCGCCGGGACGGTGATTGCCAATGTGGCCAAGGACGCACGAGAGGCAGGCTTCGCGCTGGACCCCCGGCAGGCCTCCGCGTTCCGTGTGGTGTCCAACTCCGCTCCGCACCTAGTAGACATCAATCCGAGTTCTGGCTTGCTGGTCACCAAGCAGAAGATCGACCGCGATCTGCTGTGCCGCCAGAGCCCCAAGTGCATCATCTCGCTCGAGGTCATGTCCAGTTCAATGGAGATCTGCGTGATTAAGGTGGAGATCAAGGACCTGAACGACAATGCGCCCAGTTTCCCAGCGGCACAGATTGAGCTAGAGATCTCGGAAGCAGCCAGCCCCGGCACGCGCATCCCGCTGGACAGCGCCTACGACCCGGACTCAGGCAGCTTTGGTGTGCAGACTTACGAGCTCACGCCCAACGAGCTGTTCGGCCTGGAGATCAAGACGCGAGGCGATGGCTCACGCTTTGCTGAACTCGTGGTGGAGAAGAGCCTGGACCGAGAGACGCAGTCGCACTACAGCTTTCGCATCACTGCACTCGACGGCGGTGACCCTCCACACCTGGGTACCGTTGGCCTCAGCATCAAAGTAACCGACTCCAATGACAACAACCCAGTCTTTGGCGAGTCCACCTACTCGGTGAGCGTGCCAGAGAACTCGCCTCCCAACACACCCGTCATCCGCCTCAACGCCAGCGATCCAGACGAGGGCACCAACGGCCAGGTGGTCTACTCCTTCTACGGCTATGTCAACGACCGCACGCGTGAGCTCTTCCAGATCGACCCGCACAGCGGCCTGGTCACTGTCACCGGTGCCCTAGATTACGAAGAGGGCCACGTGTATGAACTGGACGTGCAGGCTAAGGACTTGGGCCCCAACTCTATCCCGGCACACTGTAAGGTCACCGTCAGTGTGCTGGACACCAATGACAACCCGCCGGTCATCAACTTGCTGTCAGTCAATAGCGAGCTTGTGGAGGTGAGCGAGAGCGCCCCCCCGGGCTACGTGATCGCCCTAGTGCGGGTGTCTGATCGCGACTCAGGCCTCAATGGACGGGTGCAGTGCCGTTTGCTGGGCAATGTTCCCTTTAGACTGCAGGAATACGAGAGCTTCTCCACTATCCTGGTGGACGGGCGGCTGGACCGCGAACAACATGACCAATACAACCTCACAATTCAGGCGCGCGATGGCGGCGTGCCCATGCTGCAGAGTGCCAAGTCCTTTACCGTGCGCATCACTGACGAGAACGACAACCACCCGCACTTTTCCAAGCCCTACTACCAGGTCATTGTGCAGGAAAACAATACGCCTGGCGCCTATCTGCTTTCTGTGTCGGCCCGCGACCCCGACATGGGTCTCAATGGCAGTGTCTCCTACCAGATCGTCCCGTCGCAGGTGCGGGACATGCCTGTCTTCACTTATGTCTCTATCAACCCCAACTCGGGTGACATCTACGCGCTGCGATCCTTTAACCATGAGCAGACCAAGGCGTTCGAATTCAAGGTGCTGGCCAAGGACGGCGGCCTGCCCTCACTGCAAAGCAACGCCACAGTGCGGGTCATCATCCTCGACGTCAACGACAACACCCCGGTCATCACGGCCCCTCCGCTGATCAATGGCACCGCCGAAGTGTACATCCCCCGCAACTCCGGCATAGGCTACCTGGTGACCATTGTTAAGGCAGAAGACTACGACGAAGGTGAAAATGGCCGAGTCACCTATGACATGACCGAGGGCGACCGCGGCTTCTTTGAAATAGACCATGTCAATGGCGAAGTCAGAACCACCCGCACCTTCAATGAGAACTCCAAAGCTTCCTATGAGCTTATCGTCGTGGCCCATGACCACGGCAAGACGTCTCTTTCTGCTTCTGCGCTCGTCCTAATCTACCTGTCTCCTGCTCTTGATGCCCAAGAATCAATGGGCTCAGTGAACTTGTCCCTGATTTTCATTATTGCCCTGGGCTCCATTGCGGGCATCCTCTTTGTCACTATGATCTTCGTGGCCATTAAGTGCAAGCGAGACAACAAAGAGATCCGGACCTACAACTGCAGGTAAAGCCAACTTTTCTTTCTTTACTTCTTTGTCTTGGATGAATATGATGTGTGTATCTGTCTCTGTGTGAAAATCCCAGTGCTTTTGTTTTCTACTTAAATGCATGCAGCATACTTACGCTTCTTTTTGGAGGGTGAAAAGTTTGTGACAGTCCAAGTTGATCAATTCTTTTGATCTGACAATTTGCTGGAAGACAATCATTTACTGTTGGAATGGATTCTGTCACATAATGATGATGAGCAGAAAAGCAATTATCATTTTAAAATTTGCACAGCTGCCTTCATGAAGTTATGGCAGAGGGGGGGAGAGAGAGAGAGAGAGAGAGAGAGAGAGAGAGAGAGAGAGACAGAGAGAGAGAGAGAGAGAGAGAGAGAGAGAGAGATTCATATTTTCAGCAAAACCACCAAGTACCACAACTTGATTTCCAGGGGCACAGTGTTTTGGTGACAGTGTACTAAAAGAAGAAGGAGTGCTGGCAGCTTCCCTATCCTGTTACAGAGATAAACTCTGGAGAGAGACTGGGAGTGGGAGTCTAAGATGAGAAATGGAGAGTAGGGGAAGAGAAAACTGGAGTGTGTGGGGAGCAGGTGATAAGTGTTTTTTAGTCTATTCTTGGCTTGTTTTGTATCCAGTCCCCAAACATCTGGCTATATAAAGTGAAATTCTATCAGGCAACTCTATGTTTTCAAATATCTGGTTGGTTGGTGGTGTGGAGACCAAACATCCCAATGAGGGACAAGATTTTGCATCCAGATGTTTCCAGTAAAAATAGCAGTCTTCTGGAGTTGATGATGCTTTCTTTTAATGTGGAAATGTGTTGTGGCTTTAAGATCCGTTTGCTACCAGTGGATGTCACTATGGGCTATTGTGTTATGGTTTCTCTAGAAGTATGTGCTGGATTGTGTGTGTGTGTGTGTGTGTGTGTGTGTGTGTGAGAGAGAGAGAGAGAGAGAGAGAGAGAGAGAGAGAGAGAGAGAAAAGAAAGGGGAGGAGAGAAATGTAGAAACACAATAATTAAAAAATATTTACTGATAAGCACATTAGAGGGTCTTGCTGAAGCCCTTCCTTACAATTGGATAGAGCAAGTCTAAGCATTTCTAGAATCCAATATAGGATAATATACGTAATTCTTTTTCCAGCAGTGTCTCATCGAAACAGTTGAAAAAAAGTTGTTTCTTTAGTTTGCTGAAAATGAATGATGCTGCTATTTCCAACCAAGGTGTCTGTGTGCTTTCAACACACCTACACATCAATGTGTCTTTTGTGCCATTTGTGCTTGCATGTTAATCAGTCAAAATATGTTCCTGTAGGTCCGGTTTGTATTTGACACCGTCTGAAATGCACACTTCTGTGAATCAGAGCCCCCTGAATATGTAACAGCCATGCAATTATTGTTTCCCTTTTACTATTCTCTGCGTTACACAAGTTAGTAGACAAATGCTAACCACACATGAATATCAATCAGGTGCCATAAAAGAGCAGCTGCAATGCCTCATAAATGCTTTAATCCTGTTACTAGTGAAATGGCCGTGACTTTTCTTTCCTTCAGCACCAAGTCATTTCAGATGGGAGAAATGGAAATTAATATTGCTCTTACCTTTGAAACCTGTGACTGCCAGTGGCGATTTTTATAGGAGAAAAATGCGGGGTCAATAAAATTTTATTTATATGGAGATGATGATGGAGAGGACTCTTTTTAAGCCATTTTCTCAGCATAAAGTAAATGCATAATACTCTTTCCTGGATGAAAAAGAAATAAGCTTGAAATAAAGATATCGAAGGCTTTGCCACCTCTTGGTGATGTATGAGTAGAAGTGAGGGCTCTTTCTGAGAGCTTGCCAAGGAGATTATTAAACAGGGAGGAGAGCATTTGAATATTGAAAAAAAGAGTAAATCTCAGTGCTCTTCAATTTCACCCCAAAATGTATTTTGTAAAACACTCTGTTCCCTGTGATGGTTTGGGATTAATGAAGTACAGTATAATTAAATAATTGGTCAATACAGCAAGGGCTGCGCAATGAATGCCTCAGCTGAATAATTGGATGGGGCATCACCAAACTTATCCATCATGGGTAAACAAAATTATTAAAACTTCCCATTGATTCTGTAAACAGATTAGAAAAGAAAATCAACCCTAGCTCTGGGGTTTTGGGGATTTTATCTGCTCCCAAGTCCCAGTAGCATTGGCTTGCCATTGCTGCAAGTCTGCCTGGGCACACAGTGAAAGGGTGAGGGGAACTCAACTGTTTAGTTCTAGGTAGATCCCTGGGACAGAGCAAGAATTTGCCTCTGTAGATATGCAATCTCCCCATCTGCTCAGACTTTTTAGAAACCTAAAGTTCAGGAGTGTGTCTTTCCATGTGATCAGGCAGAGATTTCTTTTTCTCATCCTCTGCAGAGCCTTTTCCTGAAATACATTCATTTATGAGACTTGCGAGATGATCTGCAATTGCTGCTTGAATTGGGCTCCCTTTTTGTATTCAGACAATTAGCTTTGTCGAGTGACAATACAGGCACTGTCTTTCCCTTGTAAAGATCAACCTGTATTATTTATTAACCCTATTGTTTTGCTGATTATTGCCCAGAAATTGAATTTCCAAACAATAAGCTGAATCATTATGTGCAAAGTAATAAATGACTTTGAGAATCTGGCTATATTTTAATGTATTTCCTTTGACAAGTCTCTTAATGCTTGGTGTCTTTGGTGCACGTTGCTGGGTCTATGTCAGTGTTAATTAAATTGAGCTCTTTATGTTCCAGTTGCAGCACAGCTGCTTGTAGGTACACCTGAATGGAGAAGGATGCTGAATGCACTAACCTTTAAATTCCTTTGCAGTAATTGTTTAACCATCACTTGTCTCCTGGGCTGTTTTATAAAAGGACAAAACAGCAAGTGTCTGAATTGCATCTCGGTTTCTCCTATTAGCGAGGAGCAAGACAAAAAGGCAGAGGAGAAAGTGAGCCTAAGGGGAAAGAGGTAAAAAGGCATTTCCCCTCATTCAAATGGGTTTGGCTATCAGATTTCTCTAGGAGAGGAGGGGGTGGGGAGGAGAGTAGAAGGGAGTTGGGCTAGGGCAGGGAGGAGGGTGTGGAGAAGAGCAGAGGTGACATGAAAGGATGGGGTCTGATCTACCCCAGTCCAAAACTGATCAGGTCAGTCATACAGGAAGCTGATCAAGGGCATTTGCCATGTGGCAAATGCCTGCAAGAACTGGCAAGGGGATTATCTTTTTTTTTTTATTTCCCTCTATTTCCTTTTCTGTTAAATTGAGACTTGCTTCTAATTTCACCCAGGATTTCCTTTGGGTTCCAGGGAAGCTCCAGTTAGAGCATTTTCATGCTTTCTCTCCCATAGGCTCAACTTTCCCTGTCTCCCCACCCCTGCTTACTGGCCACTCACAGTGACAAATTGAAAATCCAAAGTATAGAAACTTTTTTTTTTGGCGGGTGGGTGGGAGGTTACTATATTTAATATGAAAACTTTATGGCCCTCAGCTTGTTTTCGCATGTAAAAAGCACAGGGAGAAACCCGATGATGTAATGCGCCAGGATAAGGAGCTGGAGCAGAGATGGGGTGCAACCCTCTGGGGTGCTTAATGTTTATTAATCAGTGCATGGTTTGGGAGGGCGTTAGCGATTCATGCTGCCTTTTCTGTCACGTAGAATCGCTGAGTACTCCTATGGGCATCAAAAGAAATCAAGCAAGAAGAAAAAAATCAGTAAGAATGACATCCGTCTGGTACCCCGGGACGTGGAGGAGACAGACAAGATGAATGTTGTCAGTTGCTCCTCCCTGACCTCGTCCCTCAACTATTTCGACTACCACCAGCAGACACTGCCCCTGGGCTGCCGCCGCTCTGAGAGCACTTTCCTGAATGTGGAGAACCAGAATACCCGTAACACCAGCGCTAACCACATCTACCATCACTCTTTCAACAGCCAGGGCCCCCAGCAGCCCGACCTGATCATCAACGGTGTGCCTCTGCCTGAGGTGAGTGCAGCTTAGGGGCTCTGCGAGATCCTCCCAGAACTCCTCGAACTGCTTGCTGGACACCATAGGCTGCTAAAGTGGCACATCCCCGGGCAGGGTTGGGGAGAACATCTCTGTTTATGCCCTTTGCTATACTGAGGGTTTGCTACCAGTGCTTCTTGGGGCGAAGTGTAACCCATAATACTGGACCTTTGTATAGAGGTGGATGCTGGGAATGGGAGTTCAAGGGGTCGGAGCCCTTGAACTCCCTGTATGGTGTCCTGGCATAATTCAAGTTTACTCCACCTGTTGCAAATATGGCATACTTGACAGCCAGTGGTACCAGCACGCCAGTTGAAGTGGCTTAGAGTCACCAAGTAGTGTTGAAAATGAATAAAACTCTCTAATGCCCCAGGGCCAATTTCCCAGTGTGAGAGCAATTCAGTCTCATAAAGCCCCCTTTTGCTTTTTCTTTTGTCACACCACTGTTCTCTAGCATCTTGCTGAGAATATGGGCTGGTTAAAGGGAGGCAAGCAAAAACATTAAAAAGCCACTTTGGCATTTCTTAACAGTTCCAATGGAAATGTCTGACAGTTGAGGAGTTTGAAACTGTCATTAACAATGAAAAATTTTAAGAATTCGCTGTGTATTCGAGTTAGCTCTGTTTCTCTTTGCTGGGAATGAGTATTTTCAAATGGAAGCATTTTTAAAAACATGATGTGGTCAGATGCTCAGGGTAATAGGGTGATATGTGGGTGATGGCGGGTGGATGGGTGGGTGGAAGGTTATAAATAACAATTTTTAAGTTGATTTCATATTTTCTATGAATTGCTTAAGTCCCTCTTTGGAAATTTGATGCACTGGGAGGCATATGCCCGCTTTCAGGCTACCAATGAAAGGAATACTGCACACTTGAAGAATACATACACATTTTTCAAAGCAGCTTTCCAAGCATTGTCTCGTTTGATCCTCACAATCAGGTATCTTGATAGATTTCTCTTCAGTAGATGATGAAACAGAAATGCAGAAAGGCTAAGAGACTTACTCAGACGCACGGAACTGGTCATCAAGAAAGAGAAAACTAGATCGAGGTCCCTTGCAAGTGCTGTTTCAGTGATGCCTTCCTGCCTCAGAAATAATTCATTCAGACTACCCAGGCTATGATGCATATGTAAAATGGCATCCTAATTTGTGTCAATTTTGTAGGGCAAAGGGGTCTTAGGACCACTTATATCTATCGCTTCTCTCAGTTTCTGAAAAATAATTCTCACCAGAATTAATGGGACCAAACAGCAGTGCTTTTAATAAGCAACTGATGGTACTATGCCAGCAACAAAAGCACTGATATTTTTAACCCATAACTCTACAAATAAGGATTTGTTGAAATTCCAGTATTGTGTAGGTAGACTCAGTTGTAATTATTAATGTCAGTGAATACTACTGAGGCCTAGACCATAGACTACTTGCAAGCTTACTTGTGGACCACCAATAGTTCAGCAATGGAGAGTGAGAGGTAGTACCGTGTAGTGGAATCAGATAGACCATTATTTTGATTCCGGGGATCACCTCTTGCTATGGAACCTTTCCGCATCTCTGTTTCCTCATCTACAACATAGGCACACCTGTCATGCGAGGTTGTTCCAAGGAATATGACTTGTACATGTAAAGGGTGTCTCCCTAGGCACTTATAACCAAAGAGGAATTTAGGCTGGTTCTATATAGACAAGACCTACAAAGTGTTGTGTTCAGACTATTTATATTGGTCATTTAAACAATGGAGGTGAGAGATGCCAAGGTTGTGGGTTCAGTTGCCAATAGTGCTGTTACTTGTGGAGATGGACAAAAGGACTGAATCCTAAGGGCTTGGTGATCATTGATGCAATGGATTCAAGGCACTAGAGAAATGTGAGCCCTGGTGTCTGAAATACATGGAGGGGGCAGGAAACATATGACTATTTCTGCATGGTTTACCTAAGATCTTGGTGTCCTTTCTGAGATTCTTCTATGGGCAGAATGAAACAAAGTATTGCATCAGTTATTTAGAAAAGCCATTTAAAGTCTGAGTTCTGATCCTGTTCCTGACTCACAAATCCCCATGCTCTCCTTATTTAACAAAATCACATAGATTTGGTGTGTAGGGCTGGTCAGGATCAAGTGAGCGTGTACTAGACACAGTGAGGTTGTATGCATTTCTAGTATGCAGTCCTGGAGAGTTCACCTGGCAAACCCATTCAGAAAGGAGAGAGGACCCTTCACGGCTGAGCACAGACCAGACCCTTTAACCAGCATCTGTCACAAAGTCATGCATGGGGAAAATGACACTTCTTTTTTTTCATGTCAGAAGTCCCTGAACATGGACTGGGTAGAATACTTAGGTTCAGCGAAATCTATAGAAGAGCAAGGATGATTAATTTCATTAATTCAGCTGGTATTTGTTAAGTGCCTACTCTTTGTAATACAGTGCTCTAGGCTCTGGTATTAAAGAGATGAAAAAGACAAGAAATGCACATTCTAGTGGAGGAGGCAAGAAAGTAAATAGGTGATTTGTAATATGGAATAATCAGTGCTACTATAAGGTGCAATGGGACATTCTCCATTGCTAGGTTAACACATTGACTGCCACACTAGAAAAAAAATTTTTCCTTGGGGCCACAATGTTTCATTATGAAACTAGAATAAAACTTTGAAAACAAAATGATCCTTTCGAATTTGTTAGAAAAATTTGTTATTTTTATTATTTTCTGTGTTTTTTCAATAAAAAGTAATATAAAAACTTGAAAATTAGAAATGTAAAAAGTAATGTGAAAACTTGAAAAATAGCTCATAAGGGTAAAGTGTTTTTCTTGACTTGTCAGGCTTATGTGTAATTTAAAGGTAAACATAAATATAAAAATGAAATTTATTGACTTCATTTAATACACGTTTTTAGAATTAAATTCTCAATATTAATTGTAACAATAAGAACATCAACAAGTGAGATTTTCATGAACCAACTGTAGGGTTTTGCCCAGGTTTTGCTTCACGAGGCCCCAGACTCAAAACTAGCATGAGTTAAATACAACTCACACGGCAGATAATGTGTTAATAATATTCTGATCTATTTCCTACCTTTTCTTTATATTTTCCTCATTAATTAATAAATTCATCTAAGAAAGCAACATTTATTAAGCAATTATAGTACAGAATAAGTGCTATGATGTGTAAATATAAGATTCTATGGAAACTATTACATTGTATTTATGTCACTTACATTGTTCTTTATATTATTTTGCTAAACCTTTTATTTGTTTTTTTAATTTGCTCTTTTATTTTTCATTAATTCAGCCCATTAGCATTTATTATACACTTAGAGTGAGCCAGATACTGTACTACTTGCCGGTGATACAAAAATAAAACACTTGATTTTTGACTCCAGGGAGCTTACAGGGAGATAGTCAAGTAAACAGATAATTTCAATTCAGGATAACTTCTCTTTCCTGAGCATACATTATATTCTTACTCTCCAGGTTGAGATTAAAGGTCACTACACATTAGGTTCCTCTGCTGGGCTATCTTGTGACAAACCCACTCACTTCATTAGCTGTGGAGTCAGTTATAGGGCTTACTCTCAATGACATTATAGATGAGTCCAGTCAGACCTGCTGCACTGGCTGTGTGCTGCTTCTGCCCCATCACATGTTGAAATTTATCACCATGGCATTAGCTCAAAGCAGTAAGCATTGTTGGAGTATCCACTACGTGCTCAGCTGTGTGGCAGGGACCATGCATGAGGAATCCAAATAAGTATAAGATGTAATTTTTGCCTTCAGAGAGTTCACAGTCTAGTTGGGGAGCTGGGATCACCTGTTACTTTGTAGACTCCTTGGTACTCTCTTCTTCTCCTTCCAAGGTTGCCCTGCCATCATTTATATGTAGATTTGCTGTTGAGCTCTTGAGTTGTGATGCGGAATGGAAGGTAACTTTTGCATCAGTGTATAAACCTAACTACATCTGAACAGAAACTAAAGGGAATATGATTTTGAATGCAGTTAGGTAGGTGAGGTAAAGGGAATGGAACTCTAGTCTAGAGAATTGGAACTCAATTTGTTGTATTGCAGAGATAATCCTGCATAAAATTGTATAATCATTATTTACCCGTCCTCTGATGTTGTTTGAGAAATCAGCTTTGTGGATTTTGTGGTTTTGTACACAAATTTGAGGAGGCAAAATGAAGGGTGCCTTTGCTGTTTACAGAAGACTTTTGTAGAATTAGTGATGTCAGGTATCTTTTAAATATTTTAAATTGAAGGACGAGGTTTGTACTCCTTGGCATCTCTGTTTATTTTGTTCATAGACTGAGTGCATATGTGAATGAATGAGAGAGTGTGTGCGTACGTTTGCATGTTTGTAAATGTCTATGGGGGGAGAAAAGAGTGAAGAGAGAGGAAAGGAGGTTGAAAAAGAAGGAAAATGGAGAAAAAAGTAGGTTTGTCAGTTTGCTAAGATTTTACTAAAAAATTCTAATTTTTTTGAGAGGCTTTTTAGTATGGCAAATAATTTTTCTTCCAATCATATGGAATGGAGGCATGCCTACTGGGTGTCTCTGGATGTTCAAAAGCGTTATTCCTTTGTACATGAGCAGTACTGTATTACCTTTTGTGTCACCTGGGCCCTGGTCATTGTTGGAGGAAGAAAATGCAACTCATTGCTTGTACTGGGAATGGAGACTTTAGTGAGGACTTTTCCTGCCTTCAGGAGGGGTGAAATGGCCAAAACACTCAGTCTCTTTTGTGAGGTATTTTTAAGTTTTAGTTTCCTGGTATTGAATGTTTCTGAGCTGACAACACTAAGGGAGTGATAATGAGCAAGAGCTTCCAGAATTCTAGACATAGATGCATAAGGATTTAGATTTTGGTTTCAATCTTAATCCATTTTCTATTTTTTGCCAGAAAACTGTAGTATCTTTGATATGAGGCATCCTAAAGGGTGTGTGTGCAAGCTCTGCTATGGTCACTCATGCGACATTTTCATAAGTAATGAC